TCTTCCTCACATCAACATTAATGCTTATCTTATAAAAATTATATAGGATTTTCAATAATAAGTTATCATTGAATTTTGTCTAGATAGATAGAGCAGTATATAAGGTAGATGCAAAGTTTGGGTAACAAGCATTCATATTTACATGCAAATCACCACGATCTCATCAAATAAAAAATATCATCAAAACTATTTTTGTTGAACTGAAATACACCCTTTCATGTACAATCTTAAAACATCATGGTGTTATAAGCGAATTATATAGTTTGATATTGAGCATTGATGAATACCAACCGTAATTATAATTCAACTAGTTTCTGAATATGTTATTATATATTAAAAGTTTAGGATTTAATTTTAAATTTATTTTGCAGGTTATTTCTGATTTCTTATAGTTAGTTTTCCCTCTTATTTTTCTTTGGTTTTTGCTTTATCTTCTTTGGTTTTTTATCTTCGCGTTTCGTTTTTTTTTTGTTGGTTCTCTGGTATTGTGCCGCTCTCTCTATTCTTTTTCTTTGCAGGGCCTATCTACCATTGAGATTACTGTTGTTATTAGAGTGTCGTTAGAGTTATGTTGCTGTAGAGTGATGCTGGTGTGTCGTTAGAGTTATGTTGCTGTTGGAGTATTGTTAGAGTTCATTTGTTTTTGTTGCAGAATGAGTGTTATTTGAATCTTGTTTTTATTAATTTTATCGGTTAATGTTTGCTTGTTAGTGGTGCTTTCTAGGTTCTCCTTGAGTTGTAATTTGTGTTCCCTTCCCCGTGCACTACTCATATGATATTTTTGTAGCCAACACGCCTCTCTCCAATGCTACCACAATCTCCGGGCATTCTTCCACATTTCTGTTTCACGCAAGGGCAACCACACCATCTCACAGAAACCACCCTGCTCGCAACTTTTCCGCCGGCAGGCTTCCTCTGGCAGCTCAGGTCTTCCTCTCCTCGCAAGCCACGCGTCTGAGGCAACATCAACCATTTTCACTCTCCCCTCTCTCTCTCTCTCTCTAACACATTTTCATGATGCCTCTCGCATTGTTCCCTTTCCTACAAAATTAACGCAACCCCTCCCATATCCTCATCAACTTCCTTCGCTAGAGTACCCTCTCCGACCGGCTTCTTTCAAAACCACGAACCGAAATGGGTCCACGCAAATCCAAATCACCCTATTCTCTAGCATGTGAGAGGACCCACCTGCCGCCGCTTCTTTCACATGTTGGGCAATCTGAAAAAGTCGGCGATCAACTCCTTGCTTTCACCAACAATTCTCACCAATTCAATCACTTTTTCTCCTCAGCAAGTCCCAGGATGCTTTCCACTTTCGAAATTCTACCTTTTCTCCTGCCGGCGATCCTAATCCGGTTGATGCCCTCCGACGACCCAAACCAAGATCACCTCCCTCTTCCCGCAACCCCGAACTCCTCTTACCCGAGAGGTAAAAATGAGAAATAAATAGTAAAAAGGAGAAATTATTAGTGTGGAGTACGGACAAAGAGTCTCGCTCTAATATAAAATTACATTATTTACGTATTTTATTCACTACAACACACTTATAAGATTCTAAAATATATGATTTCATAGTATGACATGAGCATATGATTGTATTGAAGAAAAAAAATTACGATATAATTGTGTTGTACTGAGCAAAATATGTAAATAATCCTTAAATCTGCGATAACGAGAACACAAATAATTTTAAAATACATGATTTGAATGTAAGAGTTCATAACATTACATAAAATATAGTTTTACTGAAGAAAAATCTCAAATACAATCGTGTTGTACTAAACATATAAGAGTTAACATGTGTTTTATGTCATGCTATGAACCCTTACTTTCAAATCATTATTTTTGAACCATTTTTGTTCTCGTTATAGCAAATTTAAAGATTATATATAAGTTTTGTTCAGTACAAAATGATTGTATTTGAGATTTTTTTTTAGTAAAATTGTGTTTATGTCATGTTATGAACTCTTACTTTCAAATCGTGTATTTTAAAACTATTTTTGTCCTCATTATAGCGGATTTAAGGATTATTTATATATTTTGCTCAGTATAATATGGTTGTATCTGAATTTTTTCTTCAGTACAATCATGTGTTTATGTCATGCTATGAACCCTTACATTCAAATTATATATTTTAGAAACTTACAACTCTGCTATAGTGAATAAAATATGTAAAGAATCTAATTTTAGATTGAAGTCCAGACGTAAAGTAACATCTGGACTCAGCAGGTAATATTTTCTTGAATAGAAGGGAGGAAGTGAGATAGAGGGGAAGAGAAAAAAAATGTTCAAAAGCTTTATCGTCTTAAAAAATCTATGCCAGGAATTTGATGATTGCATTTCACATCCAAAAATGTAAAAATGTGCATTAAAACTCTATATGCATATGGGGTGTGTTTAATTAGCGTAATAAGTGGAATACTTGGATGTTTCTCATAGCAAAAGAAATTCATATACAACACTCACGCAACCCATTTGCAACATGTCTGCCACGAACAAATTCATGCTTGTTTTTCTTTCATTGTGAAGGTAATTTGGCGACACTCACAAATCAACGGTGTGATAAACCTATTATAACATGCTTTGCGATGTGTCCCCATGGGTGAACTGGTGCATGTTTTTTTTAGCATGATGAGAGAATTTGACGATGCTCACGACACAATGAGGGCATATGCAAATTCTGCTTTCAGATACCCCATGCATAACTTTTTTGCCCACGATAGCTCAAGACACCGACCATGCATGTCCTTCTTGGCATGGTGGTTAAGCCCATATTCTCAAAGCAGCCCCCTCGTAAGGATGATGGTGGGAGGCTGTCAAAATATTGCAAAAAAATTACATAATAAATTCTATTATTATTTTGTGGCTCACCTTGCACGTAGCATATGCACATCTTTGGCATCGATGGCTTTAAATGTTTCGACTATCATATTCAGGCCATACAAGTCTTTCTTGACATGATGGTTAGGCCTAACTTTCTTTATGTAACGTTCATTATGAGAATGACGTCAAAAAGTTGCGGAAATGCTATCAAGATCTAAGGCTGAAAATGGGTTTAAAAAGAAAAAAAAAAGAAAAAAAAAGAAAAAAAAAATTGACAACAAAAAATTGCTAAGCAAGCTAAGCAGCGGGGGGGTGGGGACTTGAAAACTAATTGAACTGCAAACAAAACTTTCCCCGTAATAAGTGTAACACCAAAATTTACCCAACGCTTCTAAAAGATGAAGGGAGGTTTGAATCCATTGTAGATTTAACCAACCATATACCCCTTTGTTAATAAGGAATTCATGAGGAAAGTGTTCATGCACTGTGAAACCCACTCCGATTAAAATCACATGCCATCAGATTTGCGTCACTTTTGTAATAACAGAGATACGATGAATTTTAAGACCCCAATATGAAATCTCTCAGGTTTAAGGGACTCGAAGACTGGTCAATGAGCTCAAGAGAAACCTAAAGCAAACTCAGTAGTTCACCTATAAAAGTAAATGGGGAATTAAATAGAACCTGCACTTAAGTTACAGGGGACTCTCAAAAAGCTTGAATGCAACCCACGGTGAAACACACTAGCTCAACTATAAATACAAATGGGGCAATATATCGACTAATCAAAATATTTATAATCATGTAATATGTATACGAGAGTCCACTTGAGCACTTAATTGAGAGTTAAGAGAGAGATGCATAACTTACAAATATACAATTAAAGTCTAGAATATCCTATATCGCCACCAGATCCGTGATTCCTCTATGCTAATAGATAGAAGGCAAAATCAATGGCTTATATAAAATATTTTCATATACTTTAAAGATAACACATTCATGCAAATCACAATAAAAACCCATAGAAGACAGTTCAATTAACAAATCTTAATACCAACCTATACTCTGTCACTTATCCTACGTTTCCAAACTTAAGTACATCGGAATTCTACGACAGTTAAATGTATGTTTTTGCAAAAATGAAGTGTGCCTTGAGAAATGTGTGTTTTAAAATCTACAAAAATGTTCTTCTAAAAAACTATTAAATTATGAAAACTACCAATTGGGACACTATTCATTTATGGCAAGGTTGTAAGTTTACTAATAGAATTTAGGCTTTTTGTCAACCACAATCCGTCGATTATGATAAGAAAAACCGTCTCTTTTAAAGTTACTGACGGTATATCGACTGTTTTAAGGTCGTAGGTAAGACGCTGGTCATTAATTCCAAAACCGACCGATTTTCTGACGCTATAAAAGTATTGAAAATTATCCGACAATATCCGACAATTTGATGCCGTAGCAATTTGATGCCGTAGTTTTTTTTTTTTGAGAAAATTCAAATTGTCGGCATTCGTCAATTCGTATAACTGACAGTTTTGTCATCAGTAATAGCCATGACATATACGTTAGAAAAGTGTCAAACACTTAGTTTTTGACGCAGGCAAAACTGTTGGTTAAGCTTCGTTTATGTGTCATTTTTTCTAACCGATGGATTAACTTTTTTAAAAGTGTCGCACCCATTGGTTTTTTGACTCAAGTAAAATCATCAGTTAAGCATCTTTTATGCATCGTTTTATGTAACTGAAGAGTTAATTGCTGGAAAAGTGTCGTGCCCGTCGTTTTTGTGTGACACACCTTATATTGTCAGTTATATGTCCGTTAAGCATTGTTAAAATGTCCATCTACTAGCCGTTGGTTTTGCCTACGAATAAGTTTGGAACCGTCATAAAACCCAGCGGTAAACCGTCAGAAACCTGTAGCATAAAAAAATTTCTTTCTTTTGTGTTTATATCACCACCTATTATCACAATATTTAATATGCAATTCCATGCATAAAAAGAAATAACATTGTTGTCAAACAGTAAATTATCCAAATAAATAATGAAATAAATAAAATGCATTTACTCTAAAATATATATATCACTGTTCACAGAAAAAAACATATCTCCAAATGTACATAAGCATAAAAAAGAAAGAAAATGCCCCTCCTAATCATCCTCCTCCATCTCGCCAACCTCATCTTCATCATCCTCCGCCACTTTCTCCTCCTCCAATACCGCCTCTGCCTTGCCTCGCTCCCTCATCCGCTGCAGGAAGAAATCCAACTTAGCTTTTAGCTTGCCCTCCATATTGGTCTCTAGCTTCGACCTCGTCTAAGAGAAGCGAGCCTCCATCTCGACAAAGAATGTCACAACACATCTGGAGATCTCCTCTTCCTATGCGATAAAGTTAGAAGTTGCAGATGCACTGGTGAAAGGTGAGCATTGCAATTAAACCCCTGGGACCAGAGCCCGTAGAGTTCACACTTCGACTTCCCTTTAGCAGCCTCCCTCCACAAGTCGTACTCAAAAGGATCAAGCTTGTGGATCGTAATAACTTCCGACACCTGGGTTCGACTCTCCTTCAGCTGTTGGAATCTCTCTTGCAAACAAAAGTAGTTATATTTAGTTAGAGCTAACATGTATTAACATCAAACTAGTTTAGCTCATCAATTACTTGGAGCATACGAGATCTATTGTCGATCCTAGATAGGTCAGACTGCTTTCAGTGGGTGAGCTCATGTACATCAACGGAGAGAGCTCTCGTCCAATTTCCACAGTCTGATCCTAAAATAAAATAGCTAGAATACATATTCTAACTATAGAAAATCTTATAAAATAAATGAAATCTTATCAACCTCCATTTGTATTTTGTAGGTGGTTGCACTTTACTAGTGTGCTTGGAGGGCTCAATGCCACCATAGTCTGATCGCCTATTCTAATTTGCCCACTCCATCTTCTTCTCATAGTCCAAAAAATCCCATGCCCAAATCACCGTCGCAAAAGTATCATCTTCAAGCCATAGATTACATTGTCGCAATTTTCAGATACATTAAACATGTCTCGGAGGAGATCACAGCCCTTACGCTCGAAGTTGCGCCAGATGTGCACCTTGTGCTCAAAGCACTGAGAGAATAATTTTTGTAAATATTACAGGGATTATGTTCAATTGTTAAATAATTAAAAATAATTTTAAGTTATTTTTGAATGATACTTACCGCAAACTCCTAAAACCAAATATCTCGAATGACCATCAGAATCTCCTTCCACGATAAGTATGTTGAGTCGTACTTGCTCTGAATAATATCTCGAATTGCATGAATAGTCTGGGTCAGGGGTAGAACCTTAAAACAAAATTTTTTTAGTTCTATATTCGTTTGAAAAAATAAATAGATCACTGACATAACTTAAAAAAAAAAACTTATGCATTGTCAACAGGCTCGATGTGATAGCTACTGCATATGGGCTCCTACCAGGTAAAGCTAGTGTTGGCCTCTGATGCACTCAACCCCACTGCAGTAAGGGTGAAGGTAGGCGTGGGGGCAAGGATTAGATTGGGGGTGGTGACAGAGGAAAGCGCCGGGGGGGGGAGGTTTAGTAGGCTGGGGGGTAGGGGGGGGGTGGGGGGGGGGCGGGGGGGG